AACCTTCAAGGCCCATTTTCTTGCCTGTAAAATGGGTGGGAAAAGAATAGAGCCGAAGTTCTGTCTTTTGCTGTGGGTCCAAGTCCCTGAAGGAATATGAAAACAGTTATTGCTCAGGCCTTGCCCTGGTGGTTAACTGGTCTTCGTGGAGCATGAGAATTGTGATTTTTAAAAAGTTCCCAAATTACTCAAATGGGCAGCCAGAATTGGGAAACACTATATGAGAAAATCTCTAAGGCCCTATCTTCCCATCCAGCCTCGTCAGATACTGCTATCCCTACCACACAACCAGAGTTCTGATTCTGGCTCACGCGCTCTCTAGCCTGTTTGGCTTTGGGCAAGTTATTTAAGCTCTCTGAGCCTCAGTTTTTTCTTCTATAAAACTGAGATGATAATAATGCCTGCCTTGTAGAGTTGTTGGCGAGAAGTATATAGGTTAAAATCCCTCAAGGACTTAGGACAATCCTTGTCCCAGAGCATAGAGAACAGAATGATCATCAAGTGTTGTACCACCTTTATCAGCATAAGCGTGTGTTTTGCATGTGGTGGTGACACTTTGTGGTAATATAGTTGGTTTCAGGAAGTGTTATGTACCCTTTTAAAACTGCACATCCCTTTGGGAGCATCTGGGAAATACAATTTTCCTTTTCTTCACAGGTGGGAAAAGGGCAATCTCAAAGCTGAGATTAAAGCACACAGTAATGTCAGTAATGTGGCCCCAACAGCACACAGTGGTTTGAAGGAGTATAGGGAGAAAGGCAAGCACTGTTGAACTTGGAGCTGATCCTCCCTAGTTGCCATCTGAGGGCTGCTCAGGTACAGCATGTGCACCTTCTCCAGTAAATCTACCATCCATCTCCAGTCATGCACACCTAAGGACTAAGGTACACGGCAGGGATCATGGCCTCCTGTAAACTTTCATGAAAATAACCATGTTTCATATGAGCCCTGAGCTGTGTTTTTCCCAGAAGGATGATTCTACCTTGGATCTAGAATGTGGCAGAATGGAAAGACATGAGTCAGAGGACCTGGGATGTTCTGTGTTGAGCTCTCTCGGTCAGTGTAGTTAGTCTCTGGACCCTGACTGTCTTACCTGTCTAACATAGGAATTTGACTATGGAGGAGATCATTCCAAGATGCTGTGTTTTCTGTCTATTGTCCAATTTTTGATTTATCAATATATGCCCATTTTTTAAAATGTAAAGTTACTCACTTGGAAAAATTAGCCTCCTAAACAAAGGTGTCCCTTATATACTATATGTGTATATGTATATGTGTAATGCATGATAAATTAAAAATGATTATCAATATAAGAAAGGTTCGTTGTATGGCCCCAGTACTACATTATGGCTACTACTTTATGGCTCTCACACTATGTTTTGGGTTGTGCTGGATTAGAGAGAGATTTAAGTTTAAGTTTCTTCTAGGTGTGAAACTTCATGGAAGTCTTCAATAGTGTGTGATCACAGCAAATAGGAAGTGAAAAACAAAAACAGAAACAAATACACACACAAAAAACAAGCATGTGGTTTCTGATACCAGCTACCATTTTGGTCTGAGTTTGGGCATTTCACTGAGTGCTGGCATTGCTTTATTTAAACTTGGAAATTAAATTAGGACAAGAGAGAGTACAAAGCCACAGTCTTTCTTCATTCAATCACTAACCCCAACAAGTTGGCCTTCCCCTTCCTTTAAACAAACACTCCCTGAGAATAAAGCAAGCTATCACTGTGCTAGATTGGAGAAAAGGTTGTCATACCAAGAGCAGTTGACAGAAGGTTGGAATAATGGTATTTCTCTCTCACAGAGGAAGAAAAGATCACTGATAAGGAGTGTATGAGTAAGCCAATCTCTTAAATCTCTTAAATATTTTCTTTTTTTTTTTTTTTGAGAGAGAGTGTTTTTTTTTCAGAAAGACAGAGAGACAGAAAGCAAAAAATCACCCCCCAGGGGGAATGGCCACACCACAATCCCTTCTCCTCCTTTCTCCTCTCGGGATCTTGAGCATGCCCGCACACGCGCCCAGCGTGAGTTTAAGCCACCTGGTCTGGGACTTGAACCAACGGTCGACTACGTGGTAGTCCAGCGACATAGCCATTATACTAACTGCTGGTCCCCCTATCTCTTAAATCTTGAGCCAAACTTTGATGTTTAACACTAGACGGCTCCCTTATTATAAAAACTTGCAATATGTGCACATTTCACTTTGTAAAGGAGTCCATCAAACTGGATATAGGATGACCATGGCAATTTCAGACATGTGCGGTGGACCTAACATCACTTTCAGAATGTTCTCACACAGCTCTTGAGTGTATGAACAACCTGGCAGGGAAAGAATTGTTACTGGTGAGTGAACCAGAGGCCCACAGTAACATGACCAGTAGACAGTGGCCATGAGGTTTGACTGGTTCCATTGATGAGAAGTCCAAAGCTCTCATCAGTCACAAGGCTCCATAAAGTGGTCTGATGTTCAATTCCAGATTGGGACTAGCATTATACAGTGCTGGTCTTAATTGTTTCCTTATCATATCTGCAAGAGGGGGAATATGGGAGCATCCTGGATTGTGTATGTGTGTGTGGGGTTGCTTGAGCAGTGTTTACATACATACATACATACATACATTTATTTATGCCATAGGGAACATGTACTTGCTGGAGAGGTAACAGAGAGAGAGAGGGAAAGTGAAAAATCACCCCCCCCATCCCCACCCCAGTGGAGATAGCCATGGCACAATCTCTTTTCTTCCACACCTCTTTTGAGATTGTGGCCATGCATGCACATGTACCCAGCATGATTTTCAAGCTGCTGAGTCTGGGACTTGAATTGTGGTTGACCATGTGAGTCCAGCACCTTAACTATCATGCCACCTGCTGGCCCTGTAGTGTTCACATTTTGGTTTTACATTAGAAATTCTCAAAGTGTGGGTTACCAATAACCTACATCTCAGTCCCTAGCTCTGTATCTCTAAAGGTGAACTTTGGATCTGCACATGTAACAAGCATTCTAGGTAATGTTTGGGATTCTGCAGTCTGTGGAGCAAGGGGATAAGCTTGCTCTTTGGATATGAAAGGACTGGCTTCTGTTACTGCTCTGATTCTGGGGAGAGGTGGTGTGGTATGGGAAGTGTAGAGGTCTGCCCCTTGTCCTTTCACCTTTTCTGAGGGGTGGGGAGAAAACCATTTCCCTGTCACTATCTCTAATTTTGGAAAGGTGGTGGGTAGCACGAAGATAGACGGTGCTAGCAAAATAGCTGGGTTTCCTACAATCCTACCATCCTCTAAAAACACTAATATAGAGGGAAAAGTGAGCCCTACATCCTCTTTCAGTTGCAATTGACTTCCTGTACACAGTCTTCTCTTCTCTGTGTAGAAAGGAATCCAGCATCTCAGTCTGTCTCCCATCCAGACAGGCATCAATTTGCTCATCAACTATTTTGCCTAATATGTGCTAAATACTTAGGGCATAAGAAAAGTAATACACAGTGCTTGACCTTGAAAGGACTAAGTCTATTGAAGACAGTAGCAGGTGTATTAAAAGAGATGGAAGCAATAGTGGTAGATTTCATGAATGTGGATGCTATTAAAAAAGTCAAAATTATTAAGTGTTTCTTAATGTCTTAGAAAAAAATTTAAAAATCATAATGGGTAATACAGAGAAGCTTTGTACAAAGGGCAAAAGACAAATATTCTTTAATAAAACATAATTCTTTAAAGCACTGAGTTCTCTGAGTTTTAGCACTTGATTTTAGACAATTCTGTGAATTATTATGCAATTGGCTCTTTACTTGACCATGAATCAGTATTCATGTAGTCGATGACGGAAGACACCAGGGTATGAAGGATTATCTCTCACCACTTCTGTAACGTATTCTGAGCATTTAACTTTGACATCGGAATAGGAAACTAATTGTAAATCAATTTTCAAGGAAAACTATAAGGAAGAACATCTAAGAGTTTGTTTTTCAGCTCTAACCTCTGTTTCTGAAGTGCTTGATAGTCATTCATTTCAAAGCTCACCCTATGCTTCTCCAAAGGAAACTTATTATTTAATACTTTTTAGAGACTGGCATCTAATAAAACAGCATGCATTACATTGACATACCACCTAAGCAACTTAGCTTGAGTGACAGACTATGGTTAAACAGATCAACTTAAATGTTTGTGTTTGACTTCAGCATGGTTTGGGTAGAACCAAAGATGGGAAATGCTGGATAAAAGCTCTCTTAGGAATACCCATGCAGATCCCATAAGCCAATGGCCAGGTCGTGCTGTCCAACAGGACTTCCCGTGATGATGGAAATGCTTTACATCTGTGGACTGAGCACTTGAAAAGTGGCTGATGCAACTGAGGCATTGGATATGCAATTGCACATAATTTTAGTGAATATAAATCTGAATTGAGGTAATACTTGAAGTATTGGTCAGCTCTAGCTAAGGCATGGTGTCTAAAATGAAAATGGCTTTTTGTTTTCTTCTTCCTTCTATCTCCACTTCTCTTTTATTTCCTGCTTGCTGTGCCTTGTATTACCTCTTTTCTCTCCCAACTCCATGACTATTAGATAAAATAAGTGGGCAAAATAGGCACAAAAGATGGTTCTTCCTGAGGAGCCATAGAAAAAACAATTACAACCCAAGAAGTAAATCCTGTGGTGGTCTGAGTGGGGCTGTGGTGGAGCCCCAACCTTAAAAGCTGTCAGCCCAGCTCACCCTTCCCCACCTCTCAGAAATGTTAAAGGCATTAACCCAGTAATACTTGCACTGAGTTACCAGGTAGTTACTTGCTGGCGGCACTAAATATTGTGATAGAAGATACTGTAGAGGATTGAATCATTAAATACACTAAAAGGAAATTGTCCTGTGATACCTAGTCATGACAGGCTGATAGTTTATAAGAATATCAGAAAACTTAATGCGATTCATAGTGTGGCAGAAACCACAATTACATATCTTAGACAGTACAAGCATTATTAAAATATCTTTTTCTCTTTTTGACCTTGTAGGTAGTACTGATACACCAGGCACATCAGGTACATTATCATGCAATTTGTAGTTTGGCAAAATCTGTGATTCTAGACAGAGAAAGTGTCACTAAAATATTTTTTTCTCCTTTCAACCTTATAGGCAGTATTGATAAACCAGGTACATCATTGCCCACCTGGGCCATAGTTCTGCTTGCAGTATCACTTTCATTGCTTTTGATACTGATCATTGTTCTAATTATAATATTCTGCTGCTGTTGTGTCTCCGGGAGAGAGAAAAAAGGTAATTTTTAAAAATTCATATTGATTTGTTTATATTTTTGAACTTCTGATATAAATGGTCAAAGTTAATAAGCTTATTAGCACTTTAAAAAGATACATTAAGCACAATGAGCTATCACCTTATGTGTGTTAGAATGGCTATTATCAAGGAGACAAAGGATAACACATATTGGCAAGGATGTGGGAAAAATGGACCCCTAGTATACTGTTTATAAATATAAATCAGTATAGCTATTATGAAAACAGTACAGAGGTACCTTGAAAGATTGAAAACAGAACTACGATATGATCCAACAATCCTGCTGCTAGGTATATACTCAAAGGAAATTGAATTAGTATGCCAAAGAGACATCTGCACTCTCATGTTCATTGCAGCACTGGTCGTGATAGCCAGTATGTGGAATCAACATAGTGTCTTTCGACAGAGTAATGGATAAAGCAAATGTGGTATATATACACAATGGTGTACTATTTAGCCTTTAAAAGGGAAGAAAGAAATTCTGTCATTTGTGATTATAAGGAAGAACCTGGAAGAATTTATTTTAAGTGAAATTAGCCAGGAGTAGACAGAGAAATACCATGTGATCTCACTTACATGTGTAATCTAAAAAAATCCATCTCACAGAAACAGCGAGTAGGATGATGGCTGCTGGGTTGGAGGGTGGATGGGGGGTTTGAGAAGATAGTGGTCAAAGGGTGCAAAGTTTCAGCAGGGGGAGGACGACGAATTCTGGATAATGTATAGCATGGTGACTATTGTTAAAAACAAAGTATTGGAAAACAGAAACAAAAATAATGTATTAGATGCTTGCATTTCTTTTCTTTTTTAGGTTTTTGCTATAGGGTGTGTGCACTTGCCAGAGAGAGACAGAGAAACAGAAAATGAGAAATAACCCCCATTCCCAGGGATGGATGGCCATACCACAATCCTTCTCTATTCTCCTCTAGGAGTTTTGAGCACTTATGCGTATGTGCCCATTGTGATGTTCAAGCTGCTGGGTCAGCCCATGTGGGAATTCGGTGCCTTGATTACCATGTCACCTGTTGGCCCTGATACTTGAAAATTTGATGCTTGAAAACTGCTAATAGAATAGATCTTAAATGTTCTTACCACACACAAAAAAATGATATGTATGTGAGATAATAGATATGTTAATTCGCTTGATTTAGTCGTTTTTTAGGGTATACATATACAAGAACATCGTATTGTACACCATAAATACATACCATTTTTATCTGTCAGTTATACCCTAGTAAAACTGGAAAAACACCAATAACAAATAAAATAAAAACAAAGACAAAAGATATACTGGCTTTCAGAATCTTTGAAAGGAATTATGAGAAATTCACAGAGAAAGAAAAATCTTTCTTAAGGAAGGAAACCTCTCCTTGGGGTCTGATGCAACAGGTCAGGAAGAACAAGATCTTCAGGCTCTGACAACGTGATGAAGTGGCACTTTTCTCACTGAAGACACTGATTATTTGACATTTGGGCTTATTCATTCAGCTGTGATAATATACCATTTAGATACAATGGTTTTTCTAGAATAATACCAACCTACCTGAGCACATTAAAATTTTTCTGTTCTATAGATTTTTAAACTTCTGTTGCCAGGTAAATGTGGATGT